TGGATGGTGCAGCTGTGCCTTTAACTGGCATGAAAACGCAGGAATCTCATTTACAGGGGCTAAATGCCCACTGTGCATGAGACCTAACTATGCCTTTGATTTTCTTTCCTGTACTGACAGTACCTGTATGCTTCAGTGGGGGCATCTTCTGGTCTGATAGGGAGAAAATGTAAATAAATAACAGGACAGCCAGTTACCCTGCCCATTGGTGACAGGTTATTTTTGAGGCACAATAGCACCCTCTTAAAATAGTTTAAACCTTGCAAAAAGGAAATTGGAGTGCATGGAACGAGGAACACTCGGATGAATACAAAGGTTCCCCAGTACATTTTCATGATAGCCATTAATAAAACCTAACTAAACTGTTTAATCTTCTTAGATTAAAAAAAAGTGTTTTTTGGTGCATACATTTGGCTATGCACGTGACACCATACCGCCACATCAGGGCACCTCTGTAAACTATTAAGGCTCCTTTCACACGGGCCTGACTGCCAGTGGATCCGCCTGCTCAGCAGGGGATCTGTCAACTGATCCCCACTAAACAGGCGGATGACAGGTCCATTTCCATTCTGCTTATGCAAAGTGGACACAGACACAGCCCACTGTCCTCTATGGGTGGTGGAATGTAAACAGACCACCTGTCCGTTTACATCCAACTTTCATCCGATCTGCTAAATAGATGAGGAAACTGATCCCCATCCATCTGTTTTTAGCAGGTAGAATCGGATATGGGTGCATGTAAATACAAGTACATGTCCGCTTACATCAACCGCTTCATAGAGGGCAATGGATGGTCTGATCGGGTCTACCTGAAAAACGGACAGGCGGACCCAATTGGTCCACCCATGTGAAAGGGGCCTAACTCATAACAATCAGGATTCTCCATTAAAGTGATCATAAACCCATACAGAAACCCACTGAATTGAATAGCCTCAAGTGATAAACAGTGATAAACTAAATCCTTCTGCATAAGCTGTACCTGTTTATCTGCAGCATTCTCTACTCCATTGCCTTTTAAAGTACTGTACAGATATCTGAGGGTATGTCTCCATTTCCAGGAGGCAGGGAGTGGGGATGTCACATACTGCACAAAACCACAGAGAACTGAGTGTAATCTAAGCTGTGGAAATTGACCCACCCCTCTTAACAGTCTCAAAAGGAAACATGCACAGCTGAGGCCGTCAATCACCTTCTGTGTGCTTGGGGGAGGGGTGCAGTTTCCAAGGATTGCCTGGTGTCAGAGAAAACTGTTAGAAGGGACTCCTGCAGAATAAGGAGAGAACAGTCACAAATCACACTAAGTGCTTTGGATTGAGGCAAGTACACGTTACTTTAGGATATGCTTTGTTAATTTTTAATTTCAGAGGTTTACTGGCCCAGCACAGATCAAAGTTGGATAAATATATCCAGTGTATGTCTTTATAAAATTCAGCAAAATATAAATATGTCTTTATAAAATTCAGCAAAAATCGCAATGGCAACGGAGAAATGCCAGTAAACAGGATAGTCTGGTATCCCTTCTAGGTAATGATGCATTGTCATAACAATTTAACTGCCCACTTTTGCCAGGTTTCTCTTTTAATACACTTTGTTTAGAATGAATACACTGTGCCACTTCTAGTTACAGTCCATATAATTCATGGTAACATAACTACTTCGCCTACATTCTGCCTTTACATTTATTCAGATGTTGTTACATACATACGCTCATCTAGGTGCTTGTCTGTCCCAAGTTTCAGAAGAGATGTTTTCGATTTTATGTAATGGTTCCCATAGGATTTAAATGGCTGATGTTCTCTAGCGAACCGCTAGATTATTCTTTTCTAGTCAGTAACCTCGTCTAATTTTTTCATCTCTGCACCTAAGAGGAAAATATCATAGGTGTTTCCCATGCAACTATGAAGATCAGATCGTCTACATATTGTTTAATTACCCCACGTGTTGTCCTATGAAATGCCATAAAAAATTATTATCCTGCACTTACGACTATAACTATTAATGTGATTGTGACTCCTCGTAGTGCCCATTCCTCAGAATAAGTGAATATGCTCCTAACATAAACCACAATAGCATAATCTAATAACAACAATGTGCATCAAAAACAATAAATCAGAAACAACAAATAATAAATTGCCAGTGTAATTAAGCAGGCTGCAGCTCGTATTAGGGGTGCTGACCCCCACAGAATGTAAAATTAAAAAGTGTAAGAGCGCTGTCCCTTTAAGACATACTGTATAGACATAAACAGTTCCTTGTGACTTGTTTGTTAGTGAATTTTATACCTTCCAAAGTTCCAAATTATACCTTCCATGCAATTTGTGCTTCGTGCTCCCCACCAGTGATCCCACTCACTCACCAGCTCCTGTGGACTCTTATAAACAAACAAGAGTCAGACTCGCTTTGGTGGAGGAGATGTTGGGTTCTGCTGTGAATTGTAGTCTGCCTCTGTTCAGCTACACTAGTCTATTGCAATCCATCATCAATGGCAATCGGGTACTCATGCATAAGGAATGGAGGAGGAAGGCCACATAGTGTAATTCCAATTATTAAAATCCAAGGAATAAAACATATATTGCACTTACAATCCAATGATAAGGTGTAAACAAGCATTAAAAATCAGAAATGCCGCATCGGCATGCGCTCCTCCGGCCGGACATAGCCCTCACCACAGTCCGCACTGACACATTTCGCCCCTCTCACAGGGCATCTTCAGAGGTCAGCCTCTGAAGACACCTTGTTGGAGTGGCGAAATGCGTCAGCATCTTTGAACAAACGCTTGTCAGTGGGTCGATCATCAGTTGTAGCCATTAGCTATCAGATTACCAAGTTACCTTAGGGACACTAAACAGTTACTGGAAAAGTAATTTTTTTGTCTGGTGGTATGATTACGTGTGGATTACATGTGATATAACCAGTTTATATTCTTCTATTCCCTATAGCTTGGGTTTACAGGCTGCCTCCCATTTCCTAAGACTATCCAGCAAATACTGTATAATCCATCAGGAGTTTGTTCTTTTGAGTTTGGAGTACCTGTCAACACATAACTTTTTTATGTTCGATTGGAACTGTCTCCAAAGGTGTGGGGCATCTATGGGAGCCAAGTTCTCCCCCTCCCTGGCCAACCTCTACATGGGTTGGTGGGAGTGGTCCCGCATCTTTGGAGTGGACAATCCCTATCAATTGTTTGTGAAATTGTACTTTTGTTAAATAGACGACCTGCTGTGTATCTGCTCTAGGGATGTTAGTAATCTTGATGATTGGCTTAAATACTTGAACGATAATGAATTAAATCTGAAATTCACAGGACACGTAGACAGCTGATTGATCTCCTTTCTTGATTTGGTTTTGACCAGTGACAGGGGGGAAAAGTTGTCCCTAGGTTCTACAGAAAGTCATGTACTGGTAATATCTTACTTAGAGCTGACTCAGTGCAGCCTTACATACAAAAAAATATTTCAGTTGGCCAGTTTCTGAGACTCCGTAGAGGCTCTAGCAATGATGATGATTTTGACAGAGAAGCTGGACTTATGTTGAGTCGCTTTGAACACAGAGGTAATTCTACATCGGTTCTCAGTCGAGCCTTGGGGACAGCTAGAAGTACAAGACAATGTGATTTACTGATCCATAAAAAGAATGTGTCCAGAACTCATGATGCACTTGTTTTTTCAACTTTGCACAATGCTGAGTTTAGTAAAATCCAAAATCTAGTAGAAAGGTAAGCTAAGCTTTTGGCCAAAGGTATTAGGACAGTCTCTTTTAGAGCACCTACTTTAGGTGGGTATCTGTCCCCTAGTTTGTATTCCAGCAAGACAACTACACCCTCTAACTGGCTCCAATTTAAGGGCATGTTTAAATGTGGCGTTAACAATTGCCCTTGTTCTCATGTGAAAGGAGGTAATATCATACATTCCATGAGTAAAGATAAGGATTTTAAGATCTTTTCCTTTATCAATTGCAACACAAAAAATTTGGTTTATGCCATTACATGTAAACTTTGTTCCATACAGTATGTGGGTTGTATGACCCATAGATTGAGGGATTGGTTGCATGACCATCTGTATGACATAAGTAAGAAACATTCTACTAACATTGCAAATCATTTTAATGGATGTCATGGTGGTGATCACCCAGCATTATACATGCAAGCGAAGTAAAAAATTGTAGTTCCTATAAGTGGGGGTGACAAGTTCAGGCTGTTATGTGAAAAAAAAACGTTTTTCTGGATCTTTTGTTTGGGCACTAGGAAACCCTTAGGGTTAAATCATGAGTGCAATGTTTCACATTATTATGTATAAGAGAATGAATAGCTCATCTTTATACCACATTTTATGATTGATCTAATTTCGAACAATCATTTTGTGTGCATCTCTTTTCTTAATAGTCAACATACACTCACCGGCCACTTTATTACTTTACTGTGCAATTGCTTAGTAACACATATTGCTAATCAGCCAATCACATGGCAGCAACTCAATGCATTTAGGTATCTAAGCGTGTTGAAGACAAATTGCTGAAGTTCAAACTGAGCATCAGAATGAATGATGATGTGACTTTGAACGTGGCATGGTTGTTGGTGCCAGACGGGCTGGTTTGAGCAGATCAAAAACTGCTGATCTACTGGGATGTTAACGCACAATCATCTCTAGGGTTTACAGAGAATGGTCCAAAAAAAAGAGAAAATAACCAGTGAGCAGCAGTTGTATGGCCAAAAATGCCTTGTTGATGTCAGACATCAGAGGAGAATGGGCAGACTGATTTGAGATGATAGAAAGGCAACAGTAACTAATCTCAATATGGACCTTGTTGAATCTTTGTCACAAAAACTTAAGGCAGTTCTGAAGGCAAAAGGGGGTCCAACCCAGTACTAGCTAGGTGTATCTAATAAAGTGGTGAGCAGTGAGTGTATATATCCTATTTTTTGCTCCATAAGATGCACCTAGGTTTTAGAGGAGGAAAACGAGGACAAAAATATTCGGAACCAATGGACTGCAGACATAGTACAGGAAATGACCAGAGACTGTGGACGTAGTACAGGAAATGACCAGAGACTGCGGACATAGTACAGGAAATGACCAGAGACTGCGGACATAGTACAGGAGATGACCAGAGACTGCGGACATAGTACAGGAGATGACCAGAGACTGCGGACATAGTACAGGAGATGACCAGAGACTGCGGACATAGTACAGGAGATGACCAGAGACTGCGGACATAGTACAGGAGATGACCAGAGACTGCGGACATAGTACAGGAGATGACCAGAGACTGCGGACACAGTACAGGAGATGACCAGAGACTGCAGACATAGTATAAGAGATGATTAGAGACTGCAGACCTTTGGGGAGCAGGGGGAAAGCGGAGATTGCCTTCCCTCCCTCCCCGTAGTCTTCTGGGACATGTGACAGGTCCTAGAAGACTACGGTGCCATTCACAAAGCGCAGCACTTCTCGCACATGCGCAATGGTCACCCGGATGTGAAGCTGCAAGCTGTCACAGCCGGGTGCCCACACTGAAGATGCCAGCTCCAGGGAGAGAAGACGGCCGATGAAACCAGCTATGGTGAAGACACCACTGGACCGAGGAACAGGTAAGTGGCTGTATTTTGAAAGTCAGTAGCTAGAGTTTTTGTAGCTGCTGACTTTTTTTTTGAGCTGGAACTCCGCTTTAAGGGGCAGCTGCTTTGGGCCCCGTCCTGGCGCTGCCACAGAAGAACCAAGCGGCCGGCCCGGTATTCTAACATGGTGGCAGCGATGGAGGGAATACCGGGCTGGCCACTCCATAAGATGCACAGACATTTACCCCCATTTTTTGGGGGGGGTGTGTGTGTGTGTGTGTGTGTAGATAGATAGATAGATAGATAGATAGATAGATACATCCACTCTCCTTAATCATGTGTATGAAATTGTGTTCTAACGATTTTAAATGTCTTTGGTAGCAGCAGCTAACGATGGGCAGCTGCACTTTGATTGTGTTGCCAGGTTTTTTTGAACTAACGAATTTTCTTGTTACATCTTTGCATATATTTATATACCTGTGTGTGACTGTATATTGTGAGCTATGATTAAGCACTGATGGAGCGTGAAATGTGTTAGGTGTACTGCGTTCCTGTCATGTTTTGTGGAAGTGTTTTTATGAGTTTATGAATAAAGGTGATTCTATTGGATGTACGGCCAACCAGATGTTCTATTGTTCAATGAAGCCTGCACTGGACAGGGCCAGCACCTGACTGTGGGTGGTGGTGGAAGAGGGGACCAAGCTGGAGCAGTGTTTTGTGCCTTTTCCTAGGTATTTGTGTAGTTCTACTCCATGTATTGTTTGTTTGCCTTACCTTGTAATGATGTGCTCACATGTTGTGGCTGTAGTTTGTAGCATCATAGCTGATCAGTTCTCTTATATTCATGCATTGCTACAGCTAGCCTGTCCCTAATTACCAAAGGGACAAGACAACTTCCTGTTCTGGGTCACAGAGCTTCCAATCCATGCCTTGCCTTCTGCTCTGTCTCATCAATAATGTGGGAGTTCTAATGTAATTAAAAAAAAAAAATCCTCATGTTGAAAAAAATTAAGTGGGTGGCTCCTGCACTACCTGTGACAAGCAAGTGCAAAATGACTAAATATGTGAAATAGCTGCGGCACGCATCCATGCGTGTTCCCACACCTGAATCAGAATAAATGGAAAAAGGGGGTGTGCTGCTAATTTTATGAAAAAAACTGCTGTGTGAATAAATGAATAAATCAAACTGTGTATACAATTTTCATTTCACATGCATTGCAATGGATTAAGCATAGTGTATATGAACACAAATATCAATATTTATGATAAAGTAAATCAATAACTCAATGTTCAGTTATGCAATCCAAAAAGTTCCTAGTCCATAGATTTCAAGTGTCATAAGCATAGTGAAAGTCCTGTTCTGTGATCCATTCACATCAAACACCAAAAATAAATTCCTGTTGTAACACTCAACTTCACACAATTTGTGCCACCTCTGTGCTCACAGAACTCTCACCTTCAAATAGATGTGATACAGCATGTGTGTAATAATCCATCTGACCGTCAGCAATATTCAAATCCTCCTACGCCTCCATGCCACTAGGGACTCTTCACTTGGGTTAGCTCTGGTCATATGAAGGATGAGGTGCCTTTAACGCTTATGCCAATTCATGCAGTCATGTTTGCCATGTCTGTGAATGCCTTGCCTGCTTGTGTTTGTTAGATCTAATTACTATACAGCTTTCACCTGCAGAACACTAGACTTGGGAGACCTAGGGATTGTGGGATATGTACTGTACTTTCTTCACAGGAAATGTTAGTTTGCAGACTACAGACAGATGTCATGCATTGACATGGGCAGTACCATGCATCATGCCTCATGTTTAAATAGAAATGTCTGACACAGCAATGTGAAGATTTATCCTACTGTAGACAGCACAGTGGCTAAATGGTTAGCACTTCTGCCTGGCAGTACTAGGGTTGTTGGTTCGAATCCCAACCATGCCTGGAGTTTGCATATTCTACCTGTGCCTGCGTGGGTTTCCTCCGGGTACTCTGGTTTCCTCCAACACTCCAAGGACATGATAATTGGTTCCTGTCTAAACTGGCCCTAGTATGTGTATGTATGAATGTAAGTTAGGGACATTAGATTGTATGTCCTTTGTGGGTTAGGGACTGATGTGAATGTACAATATATATGTAAAGCGCTGCGTAAATTGACGTCACTGTAGAAGTACCTGTAGTAATAATAATAAAATAATACTGTAAGCTGTGCATACAGGACAACAAGTGATGCCATGAAACTACATGATCAATGTACATCTTATGCAGTTGAAATGCCTTTAATTTCTTTATCAAACATCACGGGACACAGAGCAGACTACTCATGACTATGTGGATTATAGGCCACCTATAGGTGGATGAACACTGGCTGACCAATCAGAGAGGAGGTCCTCCCCTATATAACTCCTCCTATACAAGAAGTACTTCAGTTTTTTTCCAGTGTCTGCAAGGTGGATGGTCATTGAAGTGTTGCATGTGCTCATGGAGCATACCTGAAAGTCCAGAATGGTTCCATTAGAGAATCAGGGACTTTAATCGGATCCATTCAGAAAACTGTTAGCCAAAATGGATGGTACCCAAGACTCGCTGGAAAAGGAGAAGAATCCTCTGGGTTTTGCCTGTAATGCAGCCTTATGGCACAGGCCCCTGCAAACGGAAGCCTGTGCAGTATGATACTAACCAAGGCACTTTCTGGCGGTGAGCTGTACAGGTCCGAGGCATTGGTCCCACATTATGGGGACCCAAGTCCTTGAAAGTCTGCATGACAAAGCCAACCCTGATGGGTGAAGGTTGGACTCCTGTTATGATTCACGGTACTTTGGCGGGAAAGGTAAGGCATTTGCAGTATTTCTTTAAAAAATGACTGTTTTGTCATTCTCCTGATGGGAGCAGTGTGCTGTTTGGTCTGTGTCTGTAAGGGAGTATTGGGCTGCAGTTTCTCCTCCAGCCACTCGAGGTCATGGTTCTTCTCTCCACAGCCTACACTTGTACAGTGGAGGCAGGATTTAGATGGTTGGCCATTATAGCTTGTGTTTGTAGTCCCATGTGGCTGGCAGTTGGTGATAAGTACTCCAATTCCACCACAAATGCTCTTTTGATGCTTTAACTTTACCAAGTTTGGAAGGAACTTTTCTGCCAATATGTCAGTAATTAATTAAGGGGACTGCCTCTATTGTTACCTAACTCTGCCTAAATTACCACTTTGATGATTTTGATGTTCCTATTTTGCTAACCTTTGGAAGAGATTTCTCTACTGATGTGCTTATGCACTTAAAGGGGACTGCCACATTGTTATTCAGTTCTGCTTAAAAACATCATTTTCATTCTTCTACTCTATCAAATTTGGAAAAACTGTTTTCAGGATCACAAATCCTAATCAAAGCATTTTCCATGGATGTGTCCTGGACAAGAATGTCATCCATCAATGTATAAGGAAGGTTTTTTCTGGTTTATGTACTCCCCTGGATGGTGCCCCAATATCAGGCACCAGAGGGAGGGGAAGCCATCCTCTTTATATAGTTGTCATTACAGATATCTTCTACTGGACTACATATGTATGTTGATGCAGTGTCTGGGACTTCCTATCTTTATCTCCAATATGATGTGTCTTAGCTGACAGCTCAGTGTAAGAGGGAGGCTCATACTGTTTGTAGTATCCTCCCCTGGATTACACAACCTTACCTACGCATAGAACCTTAACAATTATGTCTTCCATCCATGGTGATTTTGATTGGCAGACATATATACATATGATATGGAGTATGTTCCCTTTAAAGAGGACTGTGAATGATCAAGTTCTGTAAATTTATACACGGAGCATATGCATCCTTTATGGCGAGAGATATTAATATGGATATTAATTTTACTAACTGATTTGTCAATTGTTTTAATGGGTACTCCCCCTTTGGGGGTGTTACTCGGGACCTGTGGAGTGCGGTAGATATTTTTTCTGTTTTTAGAAATGTTTGTTTAATAAAGAAACAATTGTGTGTCGTTTACCACCAGCCCCTTAATTATTGCTTTTCAATATGAATATATACAAACAAACCCAATATTCTGGTTGAGTCCATAACTGGTTTTGTTTTTATGCAGTTTCTTATTATGTTGGTAACTAGGGACTCCCGATTTACTTATCATTGATATTCAGGACCTTGAGGCTTTTGTTTGGAGGTTTTGTATGTATCACAGGTTACATGCCAGGTTTCAGAGTTGGCTATTTTTTTCCAGAGGCCATTGCATCTCACTCTCTAGTTCGTATCTTTTTGCAAGGAGTAATCATCTCAATCAGGACATTGTTCTGCCTTCATTCTTTCCTGGGCCTCAGTCAGCAAGAGAGAGATCCTTGCATACCTTGGGTATGGTACACGCTATAAGGGTCTTCCAGAAATTGAAGGCACAGGTTAGGAAGTCGGATGCTCTTTTTGTACTGCCTGACAGGCCCAAGAGGGGGCAGGTGGCATCTAAGACAACTATTTTACATTGGATATGCCAGTTGATCATTCATGCCTATGGTTTGAAGGGTAAGAGCACACTCTACCAGGTGCGTGGGGACATCTTGGGCGATCCGCCATCAGGTGTCAGTTGCTCAAATTTGCAAGGCTGCTACATGGGCTTTGGTTCACACATTCACAAGTTTCTACAAGGTGGATGTGAGAGCCGCAGAGGACTCTGCCTTTGGCCACAGGGTCTTGCGAATGGCTGAATAGGTCTTGTGGGATTGTTGGTGGTGGCTATCATAGTGTCACCCTCCCCTCAAAATTTCTTTATTGCTTTGGGACATCCCACATAATCATGAATAGCCTGCTCTGTGTCCTGTGATGTACGATAAAGAAAATTGGATATTTTCTACGTATTTACCTGTAAAATCTATTTCTTGGAGTACATCACGGGACACAGAGGTCCCTCCCCTCTTTCTGGAATTTCATTGCTTGCTAAAAAAATTGAAGTACTTCCTGTATTGAAGGGGTGTTATACAGGGGAGGACCTCCTCTCTGATTGATCCACCAGTGTCCATTCACCTGTAGGTGGCATATAACCCACATAGTCATGAAGAGCCTGCTCTGTGTTCCGTGATGTACTCCA